CATATGATTTCAAATCCCAAATAGAACACCGAGAAATTGATAAAGAAGACATTATGATAAGCTATGATATTAACTCATTATATACTAGTATCCCTATTACCGAAAGTCTTGATATCGTTTCTAGTCTACTAGAATCCGATACAACGCTATCACAAAGATGTCCACTGGACACCAGTGAAATAATTATGAGCTTGAAATTCTGTCTAGAAAGTAATTATTTTACATTTAAAGGGAATTTATATAGACAGACAAATGGTGTTGCTATGGTTTCACCACTCTCCCCAATAGTCGCTGACCTTTTCATGAATAGATTCGAAGATAACATCTTTTCAATCATACTCACTCCTAAAATATGGTTAAAATATCTAAATGATACTTTTAGAGTGCTAAAACGAGATCTAGACAGTTCATTCCTGGAGAAAATAAACAGTCTATCTTTCAGAATCCAGTTTACTTCTGAAGCAGAATCAGACATCGGTGAACTACCATTTCTAGACTGCCTAGTTAAGAAGAGGGAAAACGGACATTTTAGTATATCCATATTCAGGAAGAAAACCCACTCCAATAAATATTTAGACTTCGGATCATCACACCCCATCAGCTCAAAGGTATCAGTTGTTTCAAGTCTTCTTAGACGATCACACTCGCTGATAACGGATGAGAAAGAAAAAAAAAGAAGAAATATCAAACATTACTGAAACTCTCAAGTAAAACAACTACCCAAGGAACTTCATCAACAAAATCAACACTGACATTAAGTATGGTCTAAAACGTATGCCGAAAACATGGACCTCAACAGTTGTCATTCCATATAGAACGGAGACATCAGACGATATCAGAAGAGTACTCAATAAGCTCGACATCAGAGTTTTCTTCAAAACAACCTTGTCCATGTAAGAAACCAAATCCCTAAAGATTCTCTATCTAATTGCGTTTTATAAAATAAAATGCTTGGAATGTGATAAGAAATTTCCTTATGTAAATATACGCTGCTCTTACAATTTTAAATACTTATCAAATCCAATAATCTACACCTGGTTTTGTTATCGTTACCAATTGGCCAACTTGACAACGCAAAAATTACCCCATACTGAGGAACGATGATTAAGTTGTTATATATATGCTGAGATTTTGTAAATTCTGGTTTAATACTACTACTTTAATAAAGCTATTAGCAGTATTTAATGGCAAAACGTCAGTAAAAACCATATTATTTTGTTTTTCATTCATTGGGAAATACAAGAAAACCTTTGTTATAATGAATAGCATATACCCAATGCCTAAGTTTTTTCAAACTGTTAAGAGTGAACTTGGTTTGGACATATATAAGAATATTATTAGTTTATTCACTGAACACGTGTAAATCATAATAGCTACTACTATTGTTAGTTGTAAAATTATAAAAAAAATTAAATTTTAAGCATATTATTTGTTTACTGTAACCTAGACGACCGCATACTAGGGTAAAACTAATGACATATACATAGCCTTGTACCATAAAATAAACAATCTGTACCAAGTCATTAAACTGTAATCGTATTCTTATTGTTATAATTGATGCATATATCTCATGAGTTGAGGTTAATCGACTATTCCTTTGTCTACTATGAAGCCTTATTATTATAATATTATTATTGTTTCCGTTAATTCCTAGAGGAACATAGGACTTCAGCCGTGCGTCTCCATTGCGTTCGGTTTTCTGCTAGTATCTTCACCTGGCTCCAAGTCTGCCCACATGCTTTCATCTCCTCTTCACATGACCTCCTCCAAAACACCCTTGCACTGACGGCCAACTCGCCGCTTCCCTTTCATTCGGGGTCCACTCGAGCAATGGCTTATCTAGTGATGTCACTTGATGGTTTCCTCAGAGTAGGACGAGCCAATGAATCTCCATTTCTTCCTGCCTATTTGTTTCACAATCGGTTCCTGCTGTGTTGGTTCGCTCATTGCTAGAAATCTCTGTTGCTGATCTTTTCTGACCGGCCATCTGATCTTGAGTGGTATTGAGCGAAGACAACTGTTAATGAAGGTGTGTGGTTTGTTTGAGATGCTCTTTATGACGCACAGTGCAAGTCTCTGATCCATCCGTATTGTGAGTAGCACTGACTGACTTCACATTGGAGTTGAAAATCCGGATCTTATTTTTGATGGTGAGTGTTGTTGACCTCCACACAGACTTGAGAGTAGTGAAAGCTTGTCTTGCTTTCCTGATCCTTGCTTTGATATCCTCGTCAGTTCCGTCCGCGTGTAGTTGAAACGATGCTTCCCAGGTTGGTAGGTAAAGGAGGTTGTTTCTTCCAGGTTCCTTCCATTTATCCTGGCTGATTGTTGTCTGTTGTTGTTGTGTCTGTTGGTGTTGTTGTTGTCCAGGAATCTTCATCACCTCTGTTTTCTCTATGTTCTCTATGCCTTAAATGTATTGTAATGACATAGAGTCTTTTTTAATTTGTAATCTTTGCGTTTCTATCTTGTCATATTCATTTTTACTAACGTTATATTCCATTAAAATATGAACCAACTGTAGATGACATCTATTTGATCATAAATATCTTTATTGCTGGTGTTGTGTTGAGTGCGTGAGCACCACGGAATGAATAGTATTCATAACCTAAACCTAGAGTTTTAGAGTTAAAGAGGGAAAGTGTACCAATGATGTGTGTTATCTACCTCTAATTTCAACTGATCTTCGCCTATAACTTTGAAATGAATATCTTTTGGAGTTATCGCGCATTTTTTGGGCCGTTTAATATGTTTTCCACTCTTTATGAAGGCTGAGCTCTTATCAGTTGAGTGTTTGTCAAAACCATTTAAGAGTTGCTGTATTGTTTTAGAGACAGTGAGAGCTCTCGTGTCACTACCTATTACCTTCAAAGTTCTGAACATTTTTAATGATTTTTCGTTGATTTTCTCTGTATTCTCTCTCGCGTATATTTTTTGATCACAGGATTATTGTAGTGTTGGGGATTAGAATTTTTTGTATTCCTTCACGTTCCCAGTGGGAAATAGGGCTTCAAGCTAGAGGCTTGTAGTTTCGGTAGCAGTAGTGTTTTATTTTTACAGGATGGGGTTGCTAGCCTCACGTCCAATCTTTCCTGTTTACTAGTTTTATTACTGGCTTAGCGATGTAAAAGAGTGCGTCGGTGGCCGGGGGTCGAACTCCGAACCGCATGAGGCGCAACTGGCGAGCATTCTACCTCTGTGCCGACGACTCACGGGGATTAAATTTATTACAATTCTTTGTTGGATGGCAGGTTAATCTATATTTTTCTTATCATTAGCTGTATGTGGTAGTGTGCCATCAAGATGTGTTAATATAAACCAGTTCACATGCTGGATAATGCAGTACATGGCACATTTATCTTGAGAGACTGTGAATGAAGAATATAAAAAGTTATGTGTACACGAGTTGGTCGTCTATGTGACGAATGGTAACCAGTTTAACTCTCTAGTTCTAAGTGTATGTTGATCGAGTTTATGGACCATCATTTGCGTAATATGGTCATCAGCTGAAGTAAAATGACGCTTATGTATACTGTTGCTTTTCGCACCAGTTGTTAAGAACCGATTTTTTTCCCTTCAAGTTCCACAGTGGAACATAGGGCTTCAAGCTTGTGGCTTGCCCAACCTTTCCTCTTCACCAACATTATTTCTGGCTTAGCGAGATAAAGGAGTGCGTCGGTGGCCGGGGATCGAACCCCGGACCATGTGCATGGTCGGCGAGCGTTATAACCACTGTGCCACCGACGCACCGTTAAGAACCGATATTCAGCGGTATTTCAGTGTAACGGCAAAACATGGTAGTATTCGGTAATGGAATGATTTATTTGGTTGAATGAATTGAAATCTCTATTTGCACATATTCTTCGTACTGTGTTCCTTGTGTGTCTTCTTTTCATGCTTTTTGCATTGTTTCACAAGGAATTTTCATTTCTCCCTTCTCCTCAACTTATTCCGTCGCTCTGCTATTTAATATTCTTGAAGAAAACAGTACACACTATGTACTACTCACAATATTTTATCACTAGCACACATCCACATTAACAGTGAACAAAGCTTGTTTAAGTTTTCAGCTACAAAATAATATATGTTTAAGGTGATTTTAAGTTATAATAAAGTAAATAAATTTTTTTGGTGTTATTAAAACAAACTTGGTACGTTGTGGGCACCAAAACATGTGCCAAACAAAATCTTATACTTCATGAGACGGCTGGGATACTGCCCGGACGCCCAGACTGAAGGAGGCGGTTGTATTAAGGAGCTACCTCCCAAAACTTTGACTTCATCCAGAAGGCAGTTGAGCAGCGTCAGGAACTATATCTCCATGGTTTCCGGTGATTGACTGACTGACTGGTTTCAACATAGAGATGAAATGCAAAATAGAGACAGTTAACAGAGATATGAGGCAAAAAGAATAGTAATATCGAAGAACAATATAGTTTTATTGGGTATTATAAGTTCGGTGACCGAAACAGGTCCTTACATACTACTCCACTCGATCCTTTCGGATTACGGTGCCCATATACACCATTGGTTTGGGATCCGGATTTTCCATCTCCCCTAGGTGTAGACCTGTATGTCTGCACTTGGTCTTTTAGTTTCGGTAAGGAACACCCCTCATTGCACGTAGCCAATGAATAGGACTTACCTGTCAGAGGCTATGAACACGTAGTCATATGAGGGCATTTCGAGTGGAAGACTAGAATCTACCCACCGTCTACCGTACTAGGTATTCAATTGAGAATCCCTTTTTTTACGTCTTGAAAATATCTAATGTACAAAAGTAGTATGCTATTCACAATCTTGTCTGTATACCTTTAAATATCACAGATTTTTGTCGCTACTATATTTATCTGCTTCTGTTTTTAAACTTCCATTCATTCTGTATGTTCTACTCAAGATGTATTTAATTAAAATTCTTTTAATTACCTCTGTATAATTAATTAATTAATTCTTTTATGTCCTTCATTTCTTTTGAAACTATAACACCTACACTTATTTAGGTTTCTAGTAACTCAGCGTACAGAGGGGATTTCAACTACTGATGTAATCGGTCGTATTGTACGTGACTATGATGTCTACCTAAGGAGGAATATTCGACGAGGATTGTCAAGGAAAGATTTGAATATCAGTTATATGAAGGTTAGTACTACATATATATATATATATATTTATATATCATATAATTTTTTTCTAAATACCTTTGTAGTGTGTGCATGTGTGTGACTATTTCAAGCATCACACATCTATGTAAGCTTTTCCATTTGCAATTAGTTGTGTCCTCTGAGCTGGTTGGTTTAATTGCGGAGATTCGGTCGTCCTTCTGGACAACATCTTCAGTGCAAGTTTTGATTTCTACTTCCTCCCAATTGAATTATTTTTAGATAGATAATGCCTTAAACGGTGTCTATCTAGGATTAAATCTGCACAGTTCAGAGTTGAGAATTCATCATAGTTTTATTTGAAAGAACCAAAATCACTAACAACAGACGAGACGTAGTGTGCTTGGTTACCATAAACAACAATCAAGAAACCAAGCTAAACTGCATGATGCTGCATATACTACTGAATATTACGATGAGTAGTTGCCAGCCAATCATGTGAACCAGTAGTAGTCGTTACTAACCAGATGGAAATGATTTATATACATATAAATAAGATAGGGAGAGAAAGTGTAACGAACGATAACAATAAAATAATTGTTTATTAGTCATTAAGTTATGAGAAGGTCAATCGATGAGGTTGTGAAGCTGTATCGATTGAGGTGTTGCGCATGCTGAACCATCGCCTTCCTCAATGGGGAGTTGGAAAAGAGTTAGAGGTGGTGGTAGTTCAACCAAAATTTGGAATCAGCCCATGAAAACCTTGACTGTTAGTTTGAGTCAGGTAGAGACGTGTAGACTTCTTATAGTTGAAGTCTTTGTGGTGCTAAGAACCGAAGATTGGAGATTATTTGTGATATGGCTTAAAATCACTCTCAATGGGGCGGGCATACGAATTCACTCTCAGTGAACCTTTATATCCACTATACCATCATAGTTTCCTGTGTTACTATTCTTCTTCTCTGTCACATGAGCCTTTTAGTATCTGTGCTGAGATTCCGTCAACAACCAACCAACCAGCCCGTTAGGGTTGATATTATTATTATTCTTTCCCTTGGGTTCCTAGTGGAACATAGGGCTTCAACTGTACGTCTCCATTTGTTTTGTCTTCTGCTGTACTTTTCACCTGCATCCATGTTAGTCCATACTGTTTCAATTCCTCTTCACATGATAATGCTGGTGAAGATGAAAGGTTTTGCATGAGGCTAGCAACCCCATCCTGTAAAAACAAACACCACTACTACTACACCACTACTACTTCAAGCCACAAGCTTGAAGCCCTGTGTTCCACTGGGGAACGTCAAGCAAAAGAAACTGGCAGCTGGATAAGTTCGCTTGAGAACAGCATTAATTCTGTATATTTAATTCTTCCAGATACATCATTTTTGAATCTAAGATTATGGAAGACTGGTTTCTTTTCTGCTGTATCAAATAGAGCTTCTAAATTTGGATCCTCTTGTGTTTTTTATCAATGAATTCTTGAAGATATTGATTTTCTCGTAAACACTGTTAAGAAGAAATCGATTTTTTTTATTGGTCAAACAATCAAAATTAGGCGAAGGTTGATGTTAATTAATTTCTGTATAAACATGATTTATAATACTTGTGATTGATTTTGAGTACTTTAATAACCTTGAACTAGAATTTAGCGAAATGATGATTGAGAAGCAATAAAAATGATTTTGTACTTGTTCTGAGGTTAAGTACATTCAGATTCTCTTTGATCTAACAATTGTATAAGATAGCATGTTCTGTTCTGTAATATTGAAGTATTTTATTAGTTCTGCCTTTACGACTCAACAGCTGTCACTGAACTTTTAGGGTCAGTAGGATCATAAGTAACCAGTCAGGACTGTGCTCAGAAGTCATTCCATATTAGTTTGTTTATTAGATATATCACACAGTGAGTGAAACAGTATTATTTACTGGATGACACAGTTTCAAACAAAATTTATTGTTCATAATCATATGAGTTATAACCACACAACTTCGAAACTTTCGTTTTTATAGTTTTCAATTATAATAACACGACTTTGAAACTTGAGTTTTATAGTTTTCTTTGTTCTCTCCTATTTGTCGTCGTTGGGGTAGTAGAATTTTCCAGATATCTGGGTGGACAGGTGATGAATCATTCCTATTACATGTATTTGCAGTTGATTCGATAAACAAAGCTTCTGTTATCAATCTCTCCCTATACCCTGTGACATTAGATTTTAAAACTTTCATCCTATCGTAGTTATCGAATATAATAATAACAATAATAAAAATAATAATAATATCACAGTCAATTAACTATAATTGACTGTGATATTATTATTGTTGTCGTCGCTTGTTACCCTTCTTGTTGTGAATTATTTTCCCGTGCTGGTTTTTTTCTGCTTGTTTATTCCCTGTTTTCCTGGTTTTCAAGGGGAGCAACCCACTAGGTCGCTTCTCTCTAAATTATAAATTAATGTAACAACCCCCCTTCTCAGGCGTGAGGCCAGCAATTCCACCCTGTAAACAAACCTGCTACAGAAACTTCAGCACGACGTATCTCCTTGAGACAAATGAAAAAGTCTTTGTGGGGACATGGAATGTCCGTACTATGTACGAGATTGGCAAAGCTGCCCAGATCGCAAACGAAATGAAGAGATACAAAATTCAAGTACTGGGAATATGTGAAAGCAGATGGAACGGGAATGGACTCACCAAATTGTCAACGGGTGAGTCAGTGATCTACTCTCGTCACCCAGAGGATCACCACATACACACCGAGGGCGTGGTTATCATGATGTCACCAACGGCAACGAAGGCCCTGATGCAATGGGACGCGATCTCGCCCAGGATAATGACCACCAGATTCAACTCCAAAGGAAGGAAAGTGTCAATTATACAATGCTATGCACCGACCAACAATGCAGACCTCGAAACGAAAGAAGAATTCTACAGACAACTACAGGCAACAATGGACAATACTCCAGCTGGTGATATTAAAATACTAATGGGAGACATGAACGCCAAACTGGGATCAGACAACACAGGAAGGGAACTCATCATGGGTAGAGAAGCTCTCGGAGAAATGAATGAAAACGGAGAACTCTTCGCCGACTTCTGTGCCTTCAATGAACTAGTGATTGGTGGCAGCGTATACAAATACAAGGATATCCACAAGGCAACATGGGTGTCACCAAATGGGCGAACCAAAAACCAAATCGACTTCATCTCAATCTCAAGGAATTGGAGGCGCAGCCTGTTGGACACAAAAGTAAGAAGAGGAGCAGACGTTGGCTCAGACCACTATCTGGTACAAGGGACAATCCAAATCAAGTTAAAAGCTTTCAGAGAATCAGGAGCTGCAGATAGACCACAAGCCAAGTTCAACACTCAGAAACTGAAGGACCAGGACACAAAGGACATCTTCACTGCAAGCATAAAGGACAAAGCCGAGACACAAATCAACACTAGCGAAGAGGTCAGCGTAGAAAAGCGCTGGAACAACTTGGAAACAGTGTGGAGTCAAACCTGCATGGAAGTTCTAGGCAGGAAGAAGAGACAGGACAAACAGTGGCTCACGACGGACACTTGGAGACCGGTAGAAGAGAGAGAGATCGGGAAACAAAAGATTCTCCAGTGCACCGACGAACAAAAACAGGATTTGAATGCAAACTGCAAGACACTGAACAAAAGAGTAAAGAAGAGTGCCAGAGAAGACAAAAGAAAGTATTATAAAACCATGGCAAGTGAAGCAGAAGAAGCTGCAGGCAAAGGAGACCTGGCAACACTCTACCAAACTACTAGGTACCTATCAGGCAAACGTTTGACACAAATCAAGCCGGTGAAGGATGACAATGGAAAGTCACTCAACAAAGAAGTGGAGAAAAGGAAACACTGGGCTGAACACTTCAAAAGACTCCTAAATCGACCACCACCTACGACGCGCCCAGCAATACCAACAACGGAGACAGAGCTACCAGTGAACACCAACCCGCCGACGAAATCAGAAGTCCTGAAGGCAATCAAGATGCTAAAAGCTGGAAAAGCAGCAGGACCAGATAGAATCCCAGCAGAAGCATTGAAAATGGACCCAGAGACAACAGCGGACTTGATGACACCACTGCTGGAGAAGGTGTGGAAAGAAGGCAAAGTACCCGAAGATTGGAAGAAAGGAAACTTATTCAAACTACCAAAGAAAGGAGACCTAAGTCAATGCAAGAACTGGCGCGGAATTATGCTCCTGTCCATCCCAACCAAAATACTAAGCCGCATCATCCTGGAGAGAATCAAACATGCCAACCTGGATGAAAACCTTCGACCGGAACAGGCTGGATTCAGGAGAAACAAGTCATGTATTGATCAGATCGACACATTACGGATCATCATTGAACAAAGCTTGGAGTGGCAGTCACCTCTCTATCTCAACTTCATCGACTTTGAAAAGGCCTTTGACAGCGTCGACCGAGAGGTGCTTTGGCAACTATTTCGCTACTACCAAGGGGTGCCACCGACAATTATACATCTCATCCAACAGCTGTACGACAATGCTGCATGCCAAGTAATCCACAACAAGAAACTTACGGAATCCTTCGAAGTGAGGACAGAAGTAAGACAAGCTGGCCGCCTACTATCGCCAGTGATTTTCCTGATTGCAGTAGATTGCATAATGCGACGGACACACAGCGGGCAATGAGGAAACAGGCATAAAATGGACTCACATGAAAAACTTGGAGGATCTGGACTTCGCCCGCCGATGATATATGTCTGATTTCCCACAAACTGGAAGATATGCAAGCGAAAAGCAACAAGTTGGCAGAAGAAGCATCCAGCGAAGATAGGACTTCAGGTGAACGTAGAGAAAACAGAGGTGGTGAAGATTCCTGGACAACACCACCACCAGCAACAACAACAGACAACAATCTGCATAAATGGAAGGAACCTGAAAGAAACAACCTCTTTTACCTACCTACCTGGGAAGCATCGTTTCAACTACAGGAAGATGGAACTGACGACGATATCAAAGCAAGAATCGGAAAAGCAAGACAACCTTTCACTACTCTCAAA